ATCTTACTGAATTTAATTACGGAGGGCAAATCATTGATGTAAAGATTAAATAAAATAGGTCCCAAGTGGCTACCTTGAGGTACGCCAGACGTCACGGGAAATTCATCCGAGGTAATGAGGTTAAACAAAACCCTGAATGATCTACCATACAGATAAGAGCTTAACCATTCAACTAAGAAGAGAGGAAAGCCAGAGGTCTGGATTTTAAATCTAAGAAGTCTATGATTAACCATATCAAACGCCTTGCTAAAGTCAGTGTAAATGACATCAGTGCGAGAACCACTAGAAAAAGCCTTGAAAGCATGAGAAGTAAACTCCAACAGATTGGTCACCGTAGATCTTCCCTTTCGAAAACCTTGCTGGAAAGGAGAAATATACAATTTCATGGAAAAGGCTATATGCTGAGCCACAATTCGCTCGAACAGTTTAGGTAAGACACTCAACTTGGCGATGCCTCTGTAGTTCTCTACAAGTTGCCTACTACCACTTTTGTGAATAGGAATAAGGAAAGAAGTCTTCCAACACAAAGGGAAAACACCTAAATTCAAAGACTTATTAAAAATCTTTGAGATAACATTACAAAGCTCGCCAGCGCAAGATATAAGTACACATGAGGGGATGCCATCGGGTCCAGGCGAGCAATTATATTTCAGAGAGTTCAATCCTTCAAAAACGTCATTTTCCGATATAACAAAGTTAGGAATTGAAACCGAATTAGAAATCGAATATGGATAATTTTCCGATAAATCAAAATTGGCAGTTGAAAAGTTCTGTCGGAAGTATTCCGCAAAGAGATTTGAGGATTCAAAATCATCCGAGGACTCGGAGCCATTAAAAGACACAAACGACGGGTTTATGGAGATTTTTCTTTTGGAATTAACGAACTTAAAAAAGTATTTAGGGTTAGCAAACAAGGAGGATTTAACAAACTGAAGGTATCTGCAGTAGTATTGGCGGTTGAGGGAATTAAATTTATGCCTTGCAACAGAGTAAGCGAAATGGTCGAAAGAAGAACCACTTTTCGAAAATTTTTTGAACAACTTGTTTTTCCTATTCTTGTAGTATTTAATTGTCTTATTAAACCACGGGGGATCCTTACTTCGAGGACGGGACTGCTTGATCGGAACGGATGCAGAAATAGCTTGATTTAATACATTGTAGAACGACGACAGTAAGCTACCAATGCTTCCCTCTGAGAAATCGAGCACAAAATGAGAAAGATGAGATTTTAGTATGGAAACATTGATTTTATGGAAATCATAACGTCGATATGAAAAATTTGAGTTTGGAACGTTATAGAGGTTCAACGAACCAACATACTTGTAATGAAAGGAAACACCCAATGCTGGATGATATGGATCCTCAGGTAAACTAAACGGAAGACAACGATTAACGCAAACCTCAGGAAAATTTGCAAAGCGGAGATCAAGAAATCTCCCATTACAATTAGGGGTACCATTGTATTGAACTAAATTATTATCAAATAATTCATTGAAGAACACAACGGCTTTATCAGATGTTGAGGAAGGAATCAAACAGCCAGAACTATCACTGTAAAACCAATTGACTTGAGGCAAGTTGAAGTCACCCAACGCAAGGACTATATCGGTAGATTTAGATTGCTTGGCCACTTCACAAATGAGGGCGGCCTGTTTCTTATATACAGAGATATCCGAATTTGGGGGAATATAGGAGCAGGTCACATATAAGTGTTTGTTAGGAAATTTCACTCGAATGGCGATAAATTCAACATCGGGAGTAGTTGGAAATTCAAACGAATAGGTGGGGAGTGCCGTAGAAATAGCAATTAAAACACCACCACCATTGCGATACAAACGATCGTTTCTGAAAACTTGAAACGAATTATGGAAAAGTTCCGACGAATGTAGAACTGGCTTCAGCCATGTTTCAGTGAAGACCAGACAGGAAAACTCCGTACTCACTGAATTTAGGAAGGTAGAACGAATTTTTGAGTTTAGGCCCCTAACATTTTGATAAATGAGAGAAAATGAGGCTGAAGAAGTATTTAGTTTTTTGAAGGGGAAAGAGCTAATGCATTCGCATTACGGGGTCGGTCCCGAGGGATAAATTCCTTAATTAATGATCCAACCGGCCACAAAGTTTTATTTAAAATCAAATCCATATTTTCGGTCGGAACTAGAATTTTAAAAGATGAGATAGCTCTAGCTTGAGAAGGACCCAGTTTGAAAATACTAACTCGCTTTAAATTGACAGAAGGGGCTTTCGCAGCCAGATAACCCCTTATGTTTTCAACAGATGTATCTGGTGCCAGTCTTGACACAAATATGGCCTTTCTAGGAGGAACTGCCTTCAAGCATATGTCATCAGTACTGGGAGCAGCAGGGTTAACGGATGGGGAGTTATGAGTTGGGGAAACGAAGTATGAGTTGATGGTAACGAAAAGTGCAAATTAATAGTAGAACACCACACTGGCCCACACTCAGGATATTTCAGAGTAAGAAAAACATTCCAAAAGTGAAGCCAAAAATACATCTGGCGCAATATGCGCCAGATGATAGAAAATTATATAAAACAACGCCACATTTGCCAAACAAGCAAACAAACCAAACATACAAAAGAACCTCTCACAACAACAGATACACCGTCCACCTCTTTTGAAACACTAAGTATAGATACAGTAGGACCAAGAAAACCTTCCAATAATTTCCGATAGATATTAACAATACAATGCGAATTAACAAAATATATAATCGCATATCCTATCGTAGAAAAAAGCGCAATATCAATTGCCAAAATTTTAACAGAAGAGGTAATACTTAAATACGGCCAGTTTAAAATATTAAAATCCGAGAGAGGAACAAAGTTCAACAATGAACTTATAAAAGAAATTTTTCTGTTACCAAATATCGAGCAAAAGTTCTCAACCCCCTACCACCACGAAACCTTAGGTACAGTTGAAAGAAATCACATAGTTCTTAACGAATACTTTTTAGCCTTTAGAACAAACAATGATTGCGATAAATGGACGGCATACTACACTTTCGCATATAACACTACCCCCCACGTACAAACAAAATAACCCCCCTGATATATGGAAAACTGCCGTACATGCACAACGAAAAAATATTAAATTCAAATGCTATATACAACCCAGAAAACTACATAAATGAGCTAAAAACAAAATTAAAATACTCTTTAGAAAAAGCTAAAAGATTTTTAGAAAAAGCAAAAGCAGCAAGAACGCAACTATCAGAAGAAGAGTACACGAATCCAATCGATATAAAATTTTATTAAAGAAACACAACAGGAAAAGATTAGATAAACCTTATGAAGGACCCTAAGAAGTAATAGATATCAAAGAACCCTATGTCACAATACAAATTAAAGATAAGCCAAAAACTGTACATAAAAATTTAATTAAGAGATACAATACAATAGATGTAAACTAAATTTATTTAAGAAAACAGAAAAATTATAAACCAAATCTAATTAACACTATGAAAACAAAACTGTAAAAATTTAAAAATTAAAAACTACAAGCCAAATATAATTAGAAGCTATATATAAATATAAACTAAAGACATAAGAATTTATTTAACACTAAATCTACCTATGCGCGGTCAAATGACCGTTTTTAAAATTTCGTTTAAAATTTCTCGCATAAAACGTTATTGTATCATTATGTATCTTTTTGACTTTTCCTAAAATATACATACAAACTATTTTTCAATATTTACAACTTTTTTAATGTGTATTTTCCGAAAGCAAATTATACCATGTCTAGTCTACCATGGGCGGTCAAATGAAATAGGTATACATAAAATGTCGGTACGTTTAGTGCTAAGAACTACCGTTTACTCTATTAAAATTCTCTTTCATAACAGAAAATTGTTAACGTCTATCAACACATTAACAATTTTCTCTCTAAAACGGTAAGGGAGTAGTGTGATCGCATACCGTCATATGCATCCACTTTGAAGTGCGACAGAAAAAGAAAAGAAAAGAAAAAAAATTTTTGTCGCACTTAAACAATTATCATTTTTGTGAAGGTAAGCATAATTTAGTTCAGAAATAGTGCACCTTTTTAATAAAGAACTCACTTTTAATTAACAATTCAACTTAGCGTCTAATTCGCTGACAAAAATAACAGGCGTTCAATCCGCCCAAGCTTAAAGTTTTATGGGCCGTCTCATGCCGAGATTCATTGGCAAATCTATGAGATGGAAAGACTTGGCGTTCTGAAGCCGAGCAGAATAGGGATACATCTGTTCACCAAAACACAGTCGCTCAAATACTGTCACACCATAAATACCACGTAATAACGATCCCACCCAACTAAAAGCCACCACTAATTATCTTTACAATATATTATTTCAGTTATTTTCGTTAATACCACCTCGGAAAACTGGTAATCAGGAAGCACATTGTCTAGTAAATACGGTTGGTGTGGCAGAACTTCCCATTCCACTCTTTAGAAAATATTGACATTAGATTCTTTGCTAATATTTTTATAACTTATCGAATTGACACGTCCATAATTATCAAAATATTTTAAAATCTTTATGCAATATACAAATTTCTTATTTGATCTTCTTTCCTTAGATTAAAGAATCTTCGCGTGGTTATATGATGCCATGCACATACTAGTAATTACGTCAAGGTGCGTCGAGATTGAATCTCAAATACGCTTATATATTAAAAGTCTACTGTTCACATCAATTGATAGCAGTTGTGTCCCATTTCTTGTAAGATAATATTTTTAAGATTACTTTATATAATAACCTTTTCTGGACTTATCGAGGCTTTCCCTATAGTATCTGGATAGCCAATTAAGAAATGAAAAGGTATTTTTGAGCATTTTCTTTTTTATTTTCATTATGCAGAATAGTTAGATGGCATGCTTCATGACGTCATCATGAACATGTGCTAAGCACAATCATTCTTAAATCCCTGAGCTAACGTGCACTATATAAATATTTGAATTTCTATCTAAAGAGAGAGCTTGAGCAATGATATCTCTAAGTATAGCTATGTTCTGACATACGCGTGGGTCTTCTTGATGAGACAATTGCGGTTGAGGGAGGAATTTTTGGTAAGCGTGAGTATACAATTGCTTGGCCCATATGACGATCTGGATTATCGATGAATTTTCCGTGGTTAGCCATTTGTCCATTTATGGGTGGCAATGGTGAGGAAGGTGACCAATCTGAACCTGAACTAGAACAAGGAGAATTGGAGCTACAAGAAAGAGCAACCCGAACATTTTCAATTTGAAGCTATAATAGAAGAAGAAACGAACGTTTCCTACTTACCCGGCCGTATAGATGGGTGGTAGTTTTCTTTCGTAAGATACTGTGGCTGTTACAGTACTGGCATGTATTTCTTGTTGATATAAACTATATAATTCGCGCAATTCGTCTGGTAACTCGACATTGCCCTCTTCAATTAAGCGTCTTTGAGAACTGATAATATCTGTTAAAGAAATTGTTTACTGCTATACTATATGGATAAGTCATTGACAGGGAATTCAAACCTTCACAAAGTCGACGTTGACGTTCAGCTCGTAAGAGTTGCAGATCTCTTCTTCGTAGTTCAGCTTGCCTAGCTAAACGTTCGGCTTGTAATGATACTTTATCGGCTTCTAGTTCATGTACCCGACATAACAAAGCCAAGAGTTCACGTTCTTCGTCACTACTTATGCGTTCAGGTAATTCCTGCCATTATTATTGAACAAGAAGAGGTTGCAAAACCGTAAAGCAATTGATTCAAAGTAGATTCACTTACATCTTCCAACTGCACTCCTTTCTGTCGGCACATTTCTAACTCATCCTCAGTACGCTCCCGTACCTCTTTATATCTCCGCGTTTCCTTTTCAATGGCGGAAAGTTCACCCCAGGCATTTTTTAAAGCACTCGAACCCTCAGATTCGATATCTAAGCGTACGAGTGCATGAATCGTTAATAAAAAAAAATCTCAACTGTTTTTATTACATATGAAAAATTTACCTTCATCATTAGGAGAATCATAAAGTTTACCTAAGCGCCCTTGCCAATGAGATATTATCATATGTTGTCTTTCTCCATCCAATTCCAAACCTAATAAATGACTTTCTGCTTCTAATAATTTTCGTCTTAATTTCATCTGTTGCTTAAAAGTCAATACTATTTGTTCTCGCAGATATCTTAATTCAGCTGTGCGTTTCTCATCTTCTTTATGCGCGTTGCTAGTGGCTACAACGCTCTTAACTTCTGTTCCATTACGAGGACGATCTGTTAACATTTTATTACGTAACCGCGTTACTTCTTCTCTTAATTCTGATACTAAATGTTGATAATGCTTAGTGGGGAAACTCTCTATTTCGTCGATATAAACGGAATTCTGAAGCCTTGTCGTAATACTATTCGCCCTGTCAGCGTAGACTAAAGTGTTTTTAGTTTCATCGCGATGCTTACTCTCAGGTGCAACGTGAGCAATCATTACGGTTTTACATTTACCGCTAAGTGCCTCCTTCAAGAGCCGCGTCAGTTTTGAATCACGATAGTTCACGTAACGTGCACCACCCGACAAGGCGTTAATGCAATTGCCCAAAGCCAATAGGGAACGATTGATGTGGGCACCTTCTTGCAGGCGTTTGCCACGATTTTTAGTCTTTTTTGCTCGTTCAGAACCGGCCAGGTCCGTTAGAAATAATTTACCCTGCTTAATGCCTAACGGTGATTTAGTGTGAACAGTAATACCGAGCAACGCATGACTTCTAGACGAGGTCTGATTGGCTGCGGTCGGTTCCATAGTGCGAGCCTTATTACCTTTTATTAGCAGCGATACGACGTCTTGACGACTTCCAGCGGGTATTTCCGATAAACCAGCGACAGTAATTCGTTGACCTCGATTATCTTCTCTTAATTCTAAAGGTCCGCCAGGATTTAAAAGGTCTCTAATTAATTCATTATATATTTCCAAATAAGAGATTGAGACCTAAAAAAAAAATTTTATGAATTATTTAATTCGTAGGTAACTAAATTCGTTAAACTAACCTTACACATGTTTGGCTCTTCAGCCATTTCGATATGCTGAAATATATCTTCAATAGCTCTTACCATTAATCCATTTTCATTTACATTAGCATCTGTTTCGTAGACAATACCTTCAGCTCTATCTAAGCCCTTTTTGCGATAAGGCCCTAACATGGTGTGCGTTTTACCAGATCCAGTGGCTCCGTACGCAAAAACGGCAGCATTATAACCTTTGAGAACGTCCTTGACCAAAGGAGCTGTAGTTGTTCTGTAAACCAATTCCTGTATATACATATTTTAATATTTTAGTGTTTATTAGGTTTCTTTTTTTTTTAATTTGATTGACATTTGTTTGATAGCATTCTGAATAGCTTGGTTTCATTATTTATAAGAATTTTTTTAATAGAGTTTCTATATCGGAAGCCAACTTGCATAAAATTTTAAATGGTCAACAAAGTCAATTTCCCTCCGCTTACAGTCTACAGGCAAGAATTTTTTTTTTATTATATGTCAAATCGTTCAAGGGATGCCTCTTATATATGTAATATGGTGACGGCCGGCAAGAAATGAGTACAGAGAAAGAGGTAGGTAAGTGGTCCCAACCTATTACACGTATGCCCAATTGCTAAACATTATGTCTTTGCCGATACCGAACGACTACGAGCGCAGATTTGGTAGGCTTTTACTTAGTCCGCTACTCACTGGAAGCATATCCTGAACGCCTGCTTCATTCGATTGAATATATTGTTAAGTTTAGATCACTTCCAAGTTATTTTGCAAATTCGTAGGCAATATCTTCGTTTTCGCGAACGGGAGAATGTTTACCACAAATACTGCACAGTGTGGCAGACGGACATGCTTAGGTATATTCCAAAATTGAAACTGGCCAAGAATTTATATATTTTATGGGGAATTTGAAGGCTGTTTCTGCGAATTATGAAGGTATTGAAAAAAAAATTAAATTTTATACAATATAACAATATAACAAAATATAAAGTTTCCACAAGAACGCCCATACAATATACGTTCAAGTTTTTGCACATCTACCTGCTATAGTTTATGAGTGCTGAGCGAGAAACCAATTTTTTATTAATTTTGAAAAACGGGTTTTTCAGTTTACGTTGTGAACGTTTTTTTCGATCGATTTGGCCGAATTTTAATAGTAGCCTACCAGCCAGAACTTTCAATGTTTTTGAAAAATTTTGAAATTGATAGCTTCATTTTTGCGACCTGGAGAACAGACGGGCAGATGGACATACTTAAATTGATTGAGAATTTGATAATCATCGAGGAGCTCAAGGAGGATATATACTTTGCGGGGTATCTGAAGCTTCCTTCTGGATGTTGCAAATGTTTTGACAAAATGGATACACCACTCATCCTTCGGTGATGGGGATAAGAATATACGTCCGTATAGTCGTCGTAGTGGTGAAAATTCAATTTTTAATATCTTTCACGATATTCTTTCGAGCAGTCAGTGTTTTAGTTTTATTATTTACATTGCTAGCAAAATAGGTTAATTTAATTTATAATTTTTGTGGAATTCGCATTTTTATATCAAATTCTTCACCCAACTGTAAAAAAAATGGAAATAAATTGGAAGTAAGATGTAATATTTAGTTATGAATATCTAAGTAAACGTGTTGGGATAATTTTTGCAACAATCTTACAGATGGTTCTGACATTTATCCTGTATGTTATGGAGTAATATTCTTGGAATAATAATCATTTTTTGAAATAATATTCAGGGGATCAAGAATTATATAAAAATATTTGAACAAATTGTCTCACTTCCCCATCCAATGTGGACGAGGATAGATCGCGTCCAGATTTTAAAATTGGTTTATTAATCCGTCAGGCAATGGTTATAACAAATTTCAACTTCTTTGATGGTTTCACAAAAGGCTTGCATCAAGTTGACACATTTTAGTGGAAATAGGTGTATGTCACTGATAAATCGAAAACTAGATCACATGGGAGAAAGCCGATTATAGAATATAGAATTACAGGTATTTAAAGGTTCGTTCGTACAAGCAAAAGTCATGAAAAGGCCTTAGAGTTCTGTATATTCTTTAACAATCCCTTTATAGCTGAAGAGTTGTAAACGTCAAATTAACCCACGCGTAACTTCTAGAATTGAACGAAAGTTTCCTGGCATAAGCATAAAGAGCAAGAAATATGCTGTACTTTTCACATTTTGCATTAACAAAAAGGAATGCGTTTTGATAAATACCTGGCTATCGTTTTCTTTAAATACATGATCATAAGAATATTTTCTTGCTCGTCCTCTACCACCATCATCGAACAGCAGAGAATTTGCCGAAATTACGTCAATGCAACGTTCGGCATTCTCAAATGAAGGTCGTACGCGTACAACTACCTGAAAGTGTATAATAAACAAATAAGAAAAATAAAGGAATAACAGTAAAACCATAATGAATTAGTTATTTGAAAACAAAAGTAAATAAAAACTAATTCCATCCCTTACCGCTAATCGTTCCTCTTGCGTTCCACCACCGCTACCAACTGATGGTGCTGGGGCAGTTGATAAATCCCTACTTTGCGTGGTTGATGATGATGAACCGCTACCGCTAGACCAATGGCCACTATTAGCCATTATCTATTTACTACAAATGCGAAACCTTGGACAATATCCAAATTTACAGCGATTGTTTAAGTGACTGTGAAAAATGCTAAAATTATATGTAAAAGGAAGACGAACCAAATGAAACTATTTAGTAGCTGAATTTTATGGTTATTGTGTTGTTCTCAATTTAAAAATTTCAAGGTTCTTACAAACGGACTTAACGTTATTTACATCATTTATAAATATTTACATGTATTGTAACCGTCTAAACATTAATTTTATGACGATTGCAGGCAATGGCAATCAATGACTTGAAGGAGATGTGTAATAAGTTTCAAGGATTTTATTCCATTAATTCTATTTATATTGCCTCCCACTTACCTTTGTTTGCTTTGGTTAATGTTATTATATTCACATTCTCGAGAAAAATTTTTACACCCACCATCGACGTAAGTGGATACATTCATTTAGGCAAAACGTTTGTAACATTCAGAAAGCAGCTTCAAAAACTTCATAAGACATACATATGTTACTGTTCAGTATCAAATCTTGGATCGATCTTGGCATGTTTGCCTGTCCCTCTGCCTTGTCTATACGTAAACACATTTTCGACGGCAAAAATTAAGATATCGACTTAAAATTTCGTAAAAACATTGGAAACTGTTGCATTAGGTTGGTATTGAAAATAAGTCTGATAAGTCAGGTCAAAAGATGCGTCCCCAGTTTAACGTGAACTGGGCACACATTTGTTTTTAAAAGCAAGAAAGCGCGTTTTTGCTGAACATTTATAAATTATTCTTTAAAAATTCACAAAAACGAAAGAAGCGGCCACGCTTATAGCATCCACAACGCTTTTTGCTTTACAAAAGATTCGGTCACAGTCGAATATAATTTTCTCATCTGTTTCATTGGAGTTGTGATTAACAAAAGCGCACAGGGGCGTAACAACCGATTATAGCATTATGGTGATGAAAATTTTCAATAAGTTTGGGACAAAACTCAGGTTTTTTTCGTAGATGCTGTGTCCTTTTGAAGTAACGAAATTTTCTTCTGAAATTTTAACATCTCGAAATCTGCCAACAATCTGCCAGTTAAATATACTTTCGATCTCTGAGGTAATGCTAATGTACTATCCCGGCAAGCCAATATAAGTCCTGTTGAAAATTTTGCGATCTGACGTTAGACAAGAGGAACAGTAAAGAGAAGAGTAATCGGTCGCTGGCCCATTGTCAGACATCATCTGCGATTCACTTCTCATAATTTTAGCACTTGTGAGCCAAACAACCGTAGATGCCAGGAACGTAGACTATTTCTAATTAGAGATGGAAACTTACTCTGATCAAGAATTTATTCGTTTTTGGAGTACATAAACACCATTTTAGCTTGCCGAAAATAGCAGGCGGGCACGTGGAAAAGGTGCTAAGAAGAGGGTCTATGGATGTACGTGGAAGTTAAATGAAAAATCGTATGCAACGTCTGCTATGTCAAAGCATATGGGTATGAATTGAATCAATGAGATTAACCTATCAAATTCTACCTCTTCAAACCTCAATACTTTTTAAACAGTCCAATAAATTTATGATCCGTAAGGGATATCAAAACTTTTTATAGAGGTTTCGTCTTAAGATGAACACGTTACCATAATTGCTCATATTTTTCTTTAATACCTTAATTGGTTGTTGTTGTGGTTTCCTTTTATTGTTTTATTATTGAAAATTTTTAACAAAACTTAAATGTGCATACTTATATAAGTGTTAAAGGCTTAATGATTACGCAGTTAGATGGATAGCTCAATTATATCAATTAACTGCCCTAAGAAATTGTTTTAAATTACAAGCTATGTGTGTAGTAGCATATTGACACACATATTACGGTGCAACTTTATCCCTCTAGGCATTATTGAATAATATTTATATAGAAAACTGTATAATTATTTAAAGGATATGTGTATATAAGGAATGCATCTAATTGCATTTGTCTAAATATTAAATATATTCAATTGCCCCTAGGAACAAAAAATCGAGCAAAGTAAAATGAACTGAAAAGCTTTTAGAATTTGGAATGAAATTTGTTGAATTTGTGAAAATTGTTCAATGACATGCATAACATTTTAACACGTAACAAAATTAAGTGATGTTTTCTTAGCGGTCGTGGCAAAGAACTGCACGGTCAATAGATCGAGCATAATCGGACTTAAGTAGAGTTTGACCGAGCTTTAGAACAGGGAAGAATAATGAAAAATTATGCAATGACGTTTTAAAACTTGATAATGGTGAAACTGGAGCTATAATCGATAATCGAAATGGGTACAGAAAAAATCAGCTTGGCATCTGAAGCACAGTGTATAAACAAAAATGTGAGAGTATAGCAGATAAAGTACTGGAGCGACGTTAGAGTAATTTCCGCTTGATCACTCGCTTTCCATACGTAATTCCTTCAGATATTTCATGAATAATATAGTTGCTTCAGGTGTCGATATCGATGAGTGCAGATTCTCTAAGGCGATTGTGATTTCGCGCAAATGCACGGGAGGGCATCTGCAAGATCAGACAGTAGCTATTTAGAGAAAATTTCACATCGTCCCATAAGAAGGTTTAAGTTAAAGATGTAGTAGCTTGAGCGAGTAGAATAGGTCTTATAGATCGCTATAAGGATTGCCCATATATAAGAATAAAATAAGTAAAGTTTGTAGTTCGATTTTTGATGCGGACTGATCGATTAAACTAGAAATACCAGTTAAACTATCCTTGTGCTTTTTGTACGTAGCAAGACAGGATAAATGTAAATTTCATTCTGGAGTCTAAATCATTCTAAAATAGGTTTCAGAAATTCTATAAAGTTTGCAAAGCGTTATCAGAATTACATTGTCAATCTATTAATTCTGTGCTGAAATGAAAAATGTTTTCAATAGGTATGTTCTAAAAAATATCGAACTTTACGATGTATACTGCGATTCGCTATCTCCTTAGAGCAAAGGATACATGTCAGAAAACGTTAATTTGTAAGAGTATTTCAACAAGATGACCGGAAACAAGTTGGGCTAAAAGCCCGAGTTTTGTGAAAATTGTTACATAAACTTTAAACAGTCTTCACAATGAACCATTCTTTGATTGATGCAGATCAATTTTTTTCTCTCATAACAAATTGCTTTTACATATAGAATCGTAAATAAGCGGCAGAGCTCTCAAACACATCCAATAAATTATGTCCCATGATAAAATGTGATAGATTTAATTGCATGAAACATGTTTTATTATGTTATTACGTCGGTAACTTGCATGACTTCGATGTGCTCCAAGAAGAGACAAATGAATGAAAAAATTATGGTTTTATTATGTGTTGCATTCAAACGAATTGCTCATAAGGCAATAACCGAGTTTTAATTTAGCTAATGTGTAATATCTGTTAGAAGTGGTTATAAGACTTTAAAGCAAATTAAATTTGAAAATTTAAAAAAACTTTAAAAATTTGTACTAAAAATTGAAAATTGTTAACAACTTCATATAAAATTAAACCGAATTCCACTCTATTATAAGTTAATCGTTTAACCTCTAATGATAGAATAATTTGTCGTGTTGTGTAAACATTAAAATTATTTTACGCGTTCAAAATCCTCTAAATACCATCTTTACCATTATGTAGATTATAATAATCTAATATAAAAAAAAAAAAATTACCAAATGCTGGTAACTACTTTACGGTTTCGCTAGAGTATGAAATCGAAGACATATAAAAAAATCTTTTTTGAATAAACCATAAAGAAAACCCTGTCAGACTGACAAGACCCCACCTTGGGATACCCAACATTTTAGCCAGCAAAGAAGCGAGGAAGTGTGACTTTCATGGAAAATTTGTGAGTTGCCGTCGACTTTTCTTTATAACCGTCTTAAGCGAAGAGCAGATTAAATAAAATGTTTTCTATACATAGTGCCTCAGATATTTTAATATGCTTAAGAGAGTAGAGTAGATGGATCTGAAAATTACAATGAATGGAAAGGAGTTTCAAATCCTTTATTTTAAGTGAGCGTAGGGAAAGTGAAGTATCCAAACTTCGGCGTATTGTAAAACAAATATAATAGCTTTTCTTGGATAAATCCTTAACAATTTCCGCAGGGCCTTTTACCGACAGAGGGCTATAATCGAAATTTTGGAAGAGAAATAATAGCCTACAAAAACCATTGTTCATTGGGCAGATCCATGTTACAAACATTTTACTAATCTAAAACGCCTGCTGCAATGGTTATTATTAACTTTCAACTAAAAGCAACAAACAAGGTCAAATTTTCTTAAAAGTTTTTATGATGCGTGACTCATTACACTCCATTATCCGAAAAACAAATACAAACATAAATATTTGCGCATTTTTTAATAACAGACATTAAAGAATTGTGTGTGTAAAATTCGCAGCAATGGAGGCAAAGTATATTAAATAAAGATAAAAAAATTTACAGATGATAATCGTGACTAAATTAAAAAATCCAAGAGTACGAATTAAAGAATATCAAAAATCTGTTACGTTTTAGAGAATTCCTACGTTTGAGAGGTGCCACTGAATGTTTTCGTAGTAAAGCCAATGACTTTGGTCAGTAATTTTGATGAACGACAGGACATGGTTGCTTTTAAAAAAAAATCTATACTATTTTAAAAAGTGGCACTGTAGAGGGGATTACACCAAAAAGGTTAAAAAAAAAAACCTAAAAATAAATCTTGATAATTTAAAAGTTAAGCCGAGATAATAAAGGAACTACTATATATATTTTACATCAATGTTTAGACATGAGAATGATGCTTTACAGATGAATGCGTTTACTCCCAGTGAACCAAATACATCGTCGATTGCTCCAAAATGGCATGAATTGAAATTTTAATTGGCGCCACTCTCACTGAATTATCTAGATCTCCTTCTCAGTGGCAATTATCGAACTACAAATTCCAAAAGGAAGCTCTAGGAAAACGATTTTTATCAAACTAAGGAATTATTGCCGAGGTTGCAGCATATTTTAGAAAGCTTCAGACTAATTGCGGAAGGCAATTTACTTAGATCTGAGAATTATTGACCCTGGTATTATTATATATTAGGCGCACGCAAAAATTCTGATCAACGAGTCCTACAGATGAAAACGATCAAAAATTGGGAAACAGCAGAGAACATAATAGCTGATTTCGATGGTTGCGCACTTTCTCTACATAAAATAACAATTTTCCATCTAATATTATTGATTTATGCAGTGTACGTCAAAGCCAATTGTGTAACCCTCAAAATTGCATTTTCGACGTTAATTTTCGTTTTTGTTTGGCTTGGTGGTGTCTGCTGCCGAAGCCCACTAAACCCGTTCAGGGGCTTATAGAAATGGTGCTCCATCATCTCCCAATTGTCGATTTTGGTTTCAACGGTTTAAAAGGGGTGATTGTGAGGTCAATGAGAAAGAACGGTCTAGAGCACAAAAAAACTTCGAACGTTGCGTTTCTATTGCTTGCCGGACAAAAAAAGAAGAGTTGTGTGTGATGCATTGTGACCATTGTGGACCTTCTACGACAATTTCAAGTTATGGGCTAGTCCAGGAGAGCCATCCACCTCTACACCGAAGTGGAACATTTGTGTTCTGCTATGATGGGATCAGTGAAGTGTATTGTACTACGAGCTGCTAAAATGGAAGGAATCTGTTACTGCAGATGTCTACCGATGTCAATTGATCGAAATCGAATGACATATTTTTGCAGAAAGGCCAGTAATAGTGGCTAAAATGGCTACCATACGATTTGACTGAAAATGCCATTTTGGCCACTTGTTGCAATTGTTTTCAGAGATACACTGTTGCAGCTCGAATGGGAACACACCCCGCGTATTCACCAGACATGGCGCATCCTGATTACCTCTCTCTCTTAAGAATTTCATAAATTATGGTTCCTATTCAGATTTTAGCATAGTTAATTTATATATCCAACTACTGTTGGACTTTTCTGCCCTAAAAAACAAAAATTTTCGCCCGAATCTTTATATAGGGGAGAGAGCAAATGTAGGCGTACGTCGCCCAAATTTTAGACAGCTAATTCTTATATCAAATTACTATTATAGATCAACTTTCATCATAACATGTTCAAATTAAAATATTAGAACTTATACTTTTCTGTCCTAAAAAAATTTTTTTTGTAAACGTCCTTATACACGGTAGGATCCAAAAATAGACGTGGCTGGTCCAAATTGGGGACAGTGAATTGTTTTTATCTTAAATTATTATTATGGGTTAAGTTTCATTGTAACATATTAAAACTATGACTTTTCTGCTCTATAAATTATAAATTTTTGGGAAAATCGGATGAAATCCAAAAATAGGATGAAATCCAAAAGATAGGCGTGGGTGATTCAAAATTGGCGCAAGACCTTTTTTTAATTTAAATTATTGTTATGGGTTATTTTTTATCATAACAAATCAAAATGTAAACTTTTCTGCGCTATAAACGATTAAAAACAGGCTGCGATCACAGAAATTTGGTGCAGTTAATTAAAATTACTATTATGCTGTGATTTTCACCATGGAGTATTGAAAATGAGATGTTTTCGTCTTTCGAATTTCTGTTTTCGTTATATAAGAAGGGAATCAAAAAATTGTTCCAACCGGGCCAAAGTTTTCATACTAATTTAGCTGAAAATTTCTATTAGCTGATGTTGTGTGTGGCACTTAAGTGCCGTTCATCCTGACTGTGGCCATTTACCTTGTTCTATTTGAACGGTTTTTTTAATATAAAGCAATGAATACAATTTAAATAATATTCTTCACAAGCATCTTTTAGAAAGACATATAAGACAGTGTAATATAACGCTGATTAAAGCCAGAAAACTTTTCGATAGAAGTTATAATCACAACTTTCATAATCTTTCCAAACATAGCTTTAAAGCAACGCTCTTTTTGGTGTATACATGACCACTCACTCAGAGGAGGTTAGCTATATAAGAGCTTATGTTAAGAGTGTATAAGAAGCTTATGTTAAATTCAAATAGTAACACAATGATTTCTAAACATAAATTTATATAACGTTGAGGACAAGGAAAAACATTATTTTTACGTGACGTTCACGATTTTATTTAATATGTTTGGGATTATGAATTTAGGTCAAATATGCGCTGTTTTGCTCCATAATTTGATGTCATTTTAAAGGTAGATTCATAAGGCCTCTATCCTAGAAGTCTTGGTCCCTAGTAATCGATTTTTACAGTCTTCTCTTGATGCCAATTTCTTATCACTAAGGAAGATTTGCTATGCCAGAAAAACATGGCAATCGCATGGTGCTAGGTGCGGATTGTATGTTGGACGCATCACCACTTCCGAGTCACTATCACGCGTAGTATGTGATCCTTACGAAACACAATACCTCCCCTGTTGGCTAATGCTGGCCGTTGTTGGCTCAACGCTAGCTTCAGACGGTCCAGTTGTTGACAGTAGAGATGCGAATTTAATAATGACTTCTTTTCAGCCCTATCAAACCCATGGCAGAACCTTCCTGGCCGTCAAACCAGATGCTTTACCGCGCCTTGCTCACGAACTTTTTCGCACTATGTTGTCTTATGTGACCTATTCCTTAGCAACAGTCACAATCCGTTCATGAAATGGGTTTATTTCAACCTCTTTTGCCAATGATTCGTGGTGGAAACTCGATCCATCATGTTTTTTTGTGTTATTTGATGTGGTGTAGTTTTGGGCAAAAGGTTTAAAACTATTCCATGGTCGATCTTTAGCTCGACGACGAGCGTACACGAACGAAGTGCGTCTTTAACATAAAAAATACCTGGATGGAATCGACGAAACCAAAATTGAGTGTAATTGGCTGTGACAGTTTCGGAACCATAAACACCGTTCACAATTTCAGCCGCCGGGCTTGCATTTTTTGCGTTTATCAAAGAAAAACTGTAATATGTACCGAACTTTCTTTTTGTTGACTTCCATTTTTAACATCCTGTAATACACAACTGAACGGACCAAATAAAAAACAAGGCAACATTTTTTTTAGTGAGAAATGTCGCCTTTCCAATGAGCATAGGTACTCTGCGGGATTTCGGTCACTGCAACCATTTATCGAAAAGATAATGGATTTCTTTTTCCACGACCTAGTATAGCAAAGCGAATGAATTAAATGGAGTTAAAAAGAGTTCGATGTAAATATAGAACAGCATACTACTGAGGTTGTTGTATATATCTCTTCAATAAGCTAACGATTGGAAATTTCATTATAAAAAAAATTGAGTTAACAGACGCTTTATAATATTTTTATGCCTACCTGCGACGAAGGATTAAGGAGAATACGAAAAAATCTTCGAAACGATTTTTATTTACCGATTATCCGCCTTTCTTAGGCTTTAGGCAAAAATTGAATCAGCGTAAAAGTTAAATCATTAAACCGAGAAGAGTTAAAAACAATCTCTACAACAAGTGGGTTATTATTGCTATTTTTTTTTATTAGGTGACCAATCGGTGACACTCTGAAAAAGGAAACAAATAGGGAAGCGGCCGTAGCAAAGCGATTGTGTGCACTAACGGTAAGTGTTATGCCTTTATCAACTGCGCTCACAGTAATTACGATCTAAATTGACTCTACTGCATTGAGATTTGAACGCGCGAGCCAGAACTTGGTAATCGCGCCTCTTACCTACTCGGTTATTCATGCAGTTGTTTTATATGTGCTGCATTCTTCAATTATTACGTTCATCCGCGTACGCAAATTACCGAATTGCCGAAATTTGTAGGACAAAAATTGAACCGGCGTAAAAGCAGTGTGCAATTAGTCCATGTTAATGAAGTGCGGGCATTATTCTCCTTATGGCGTTTTTACGCCAAATTATTTCTCGAAATTTATCAATTACGTTTCTTTCTCAGATATCAGATGTAAATACTTCGCAATATTCCAATGCCAACGAAACTACGGCGCCTCTACGCCAAAATTAGTGCTGATAAAAGCATTTGCACGCTGTTCTCCGATAACTACAATCGCCTCCTTCAAAGAATACTTGAAACTGTGATGAAAGACATAAAATCAGTCTAAGTACTTTGTACTTTTTGCCAATAAGGCATTAGAATGAAAAACCTGAGACACCTCTATGTCAAAATAGTAGCTCGGTAGACGATAGTTACGAATAAACTGTAATGGGTATTGGCTTCGTTGGGATCCTATATCAGCAAAATCTAAATGCGTACTTTCGCATGAAAGTATCCTCGTCTTGCTGGTAAACGGACAACGCGTCTCGCACTAACGAAAGATATTTTCAACATCCATTAACCTAGATTGAACTTGGTGCGGCTTTGAAAATTCTAACACTAATTAAATGCTTGATATATTATTCTAATCAATAGTTGGATAAATTATCGCATAATCTAGCATTGAAGAAGGATTAAGTTAATAGAATTTCATAGAAATTTTGATTTTCTCCAGTTCGCAGTGGTGGTTAGAATCTTCGGTATCGTCTAATAGACTTGATTGCATGTATATACTCATGTGAAATTTTTCTTTTGTTGCACGCTTATTAGTGTAGGAAAAGGAACGATTTCGAATTTGACAAAGTAAATAGAAATTGGGTCAAAGTATTGCTGGAATTTGGTGGGAAAAAAAGAAGAAAAAGGTATGGAATGTTCTAATGAGAAAGCCACCCCTTACAAAAACTTCCCATTAGACAACGCTAAAGACCGACGACAACAATTGCGTTTCATTGGGAAATTCCAATAGGGGAAAAAAAAACTTTATTCTTACCTTTAGCAAAATTTTTCTTTAAATTCGAGTTCGGTTTTCCTAACAAAGATGAAAACAGAATAAATAGTTATTGAGAAATTTCCTTTATATTAATTTTTCTTTATTTTTTGTGTTCCACCTTTTGCAATTGTCCTTTAAAGCGATTTTATAACTGTTCACGTTCGCGTTATAAAATTAACTAAACTCGTGTGAATATTGTTTTATATTCATAAGTGCGGTCAAAAGACTATGGAAATACAGACACGCATATATGCACAAAGGCTTAGGCCAATAAAACTCAATACTTGTACAATAAATATGCAAAAACACACATACTAAGCAATGTATTATGTATATGTATGTGTGTGTGCATCTTGACATAGTTACTTAATCCAGATAGAGCCCACAAGCACACTTCGCTTGTTTTTTATAAACACAAATGCATTACACTTACATGTTCATATATATATATATACGGATACACCCGATACCGGGTTTTTGATTTCATTGTTATTTTATACTTAAAATTTAAAATCGAAAACTTATACAAAAGCAAGTCGGCCAACATGGCCATATTTGCATGGATACACAAAGTGCTTGCAAATATCCTTTATTCATCTTTCTATGAAATACGTAACAAGTAATTATAATGATAATCGTGTAGGTCGTGGTTTAAAACGTATCTTGGACACTCACCAACTTCAACAATCGAAAAGTTTCTGCTTGATTGCAGATTCGTTACCAAATTTGGTTCCATTTTTCAAGCTGGCCTTTCTGATGATTGGGAAAATAATTTGATGCGATGGTTATGGAACATTTTATTGTCAATATATTCGATTTGCTTGCGTAAAACTCCACTTAGGTCCCATTTTATTTAGTTTATATATTAATGATCTCCCTTCGGTAATTAATTCCAGTCAGACCTTAATGTATGCTGATGTTGTGGAACTGTTTTTTTCCTTCTCTCTAGAATCGCAATCACATCACCTTCAAAGTGACTTGAGTAATTTGGTTGCATGGTGCTCTTTGCTAGGTCCGCGCTTGGTTTTATAAAGAGATGGTCCAAAGAGCTTGATGATCCTTACATTACGAAAAGGCTGTACATGTATTTGGTTAGACACGACTATGCCTCTGCTGTGTTGTCTCCTTCATATAGATGCTATGTAGATTCAATTGAACCTGTTCGAAAGCAATTCTTGCTGTTTGCCCTTAGGAAGTTGGGTTGGGATCCGATTGCCTCTCTTGCCATCTATGAAAATAGGTTGCTTTTGCTGTCCCTACCGTCTCTCGAGAAACGTAGATTTATTCTTGGCGTTTCCTTCGTAATCAAAGTAATAAATGGTGCTTTTCATCTGCATTACTTGGTGAAATAAGCTTTAATGTCCTAACCGCTTCTCTAGGCACTTTATCTTGGTTAAGCTTAGTCAATGTAAATATACTTATGCGCTTAACCCGCTCAGAGTTGTTTGCAAGAACCTAAAAGACGTCTATCACTTATTCTCATTATCGGACTCTTTAAAGTCCATTAAAGCAACATTGCTTAATGCGCGTAATTTACCTATGTCTTACTTAAACTAGCTTTTATCCTTAAAAAGTCGTTATGTTTCGAAAATGAATTATTGTCAATTTATTATCGGTTGCCAGGCTTATGCATGTTTGCGATGGCTTAGGGGTTCATTTGCAATTTGGTGCTGTACCGGTTGTAGTGTGGCCCTATGCTGATAGTGTACACGCTTTTTTTTCTTTTTTTTTTCTTCTTATTTGTTTTATTACACTTATACTCAATTTTATTATTAATTAATATAAGTTTTGTATTAAGAGCCAATTGAACTCGACTGTTATTTGTTTAGTTCAGTTTCTAGTATAAGTGGAATAAATAAAATAAATAAATAAAAATAAATAAATAAATTACACCTTTCAATTTTAAAATAATATTAGATCAAAATTGTTTGAATGGCTAAAAAACTGAGGTAAATTTCTTGCTTCCAAAAATATTTTTAGAAGTTTAGAGAGCACAAAATATATGCCACCATGTGTCCTTGGCTATGTAAAAAAGAGGTAAGAATTAATTTTTTTAATCGTTTTTTCAATTAAATATCAAATAATAGGATCAAAGTTATAGTTTTTGTTCTTCAGCTGTCTTCATGATTATACCCTAAAGTACCTGAAGCGATACCTCAAGTTTGTGCGTATGTACGCGACGCTTGAAAATACTTGAGATAGATCTTTTAGTATACTATCAATCATTTGGAAATCATTTTTTAAATCGATTTAAACAAGTCTACGTTTTTCTATTCAATCCATAGGTCGTAATTTTCAAGATATTTTGCTAAAATTTCTGATATGTTGTTGATCTAAACATGAATGCTATTGAAAACGAACTTTGATTCTTGTTTTAGTCCATCCATACTACCCTTAACTAAGAGTTGGGGATCTACTAACAAAGGAGTTTTGACTCTTGGTCCTTCGTCCCTTTTGTCTGGTCTTGATTGATACTTTCTTTTCATATGCTTAGCTAATTGTCGGCATCGGTCTAAAAGCATTTTAAAAAAAAGAGAAATTGATAATGGAACGGTTCACACAGTTACCGATCAGAAAGTTGGAATATTATAGAAAATAATAGAACATTGAGACTGGTAAGTAAAAACAATTGCTCATCATGCGAGTGAAATTTTCTTACATCTCTTTCATTCGATTAAAAAAAATTTAATTTAATGAAATAAATTCTCTTACTAAGAAGTAAAGTTTTTAACTCCTCGCGCGTTAAGGTTCTCAGAAAAATGAAAAATGGTGTAGTTAAAACGCCTTCAAGATCCCCATTCGTAACCCCTTAAGCAAAATTAGCAAGCATTACTCCTTAAAAGCAGTCCTGTTTTTTTCCCCATTATCGATTTTTGTACCCATTATCGAAGGATGGGGGGTATACTCATCGCCGATGTCGATGGTCCTCTCGTATAAATTTGGTCCATAAAATTAGCGGAGATTTCTACTTCTACCCTCTCCTCTACACATAGCACCCTAGTCGGTTCTTCTGCGATCTCTATTATACAGGTTTTTTTCTTCGTCAAATCCTACAAAATCTGCCTCGTCCTCGCTGTCAGTCTCAATCCGCATATTTCTCTTGTCACATATATGGCCCGTCATTTTCTTTACCGCTCGCCTCAATCCAAATTTTCGCGCGTACCAAATGTATTCTACCATTGTTGTCCGACCGCCCCGTCTTCCATCTATCCTTCTCAAACTATACCTAATTGCAAAAACTTTTTTCATAACATCCTGCTCTGTCACTAACTGGCCAGTTTCCTCCATCAGGCGGTCGGCTAACCTCTTATGCAGTAGTCTGCATAGCCCACAAGTTGGGGTATTCTTTCAATAATTCACTAAATAGCCTGTCCGGAATTTTTGCTATGGTATAATACTTATAATACTTAATATATATATATAAATAAAATTATATAAATATAAAATAATATATTATAATATATATTGTTATAAATAAATAATAAGAGTCGAACGTGAAAATAAATGGAATATAAAATAGACCAATTATAGAAAGAAATGTAAAATTTTTGTTAAATTGATAACATTATGGTGGTGCGAAGAAAAGTAAAAATAAACAATTGTCAGATTAAATAAAAATTAAAGAACGATCAATTTTTTTTTTAATTTCAATTTATTTACTTAATAATTTTACATTTTTTACATTTCAAATTAATAATAATTTCAAATTTTAAATAAAATTTAGCGGCTAACAAATTTTCGAATATTTTCCGTACCTCGTTCCTTCGTATCGTTATTAATACCGTTTCCCTAGTTAGGACTAGTATGAGTTGTACAGTTTTGACGCCATTCAGCCTCCAACTCTTGCACCGAAAGGATTTGCGATAATTTCACATTTGATTTTGAGCCAGAGGCAAATAAATATGGCAGATCAGATTTATTTTGTGTATTCATTGTATTTTTGAAAAAGTCACTAATCGAGGCTGATGAATTGGCTTTTTGAATGTATGCTACTTTGAGCGTGTGATGACCACTTTGATTCAATCTATAGAAATTTGAAATCAATATTAAAAAGTTTGAATGTACGGATGTAATTTTACAATTTACGAAAATATAAGAAATTGTTTACAGAATTAGCTTGTAAGGAAGCGTTTTTGCTTCCTTACGGAATACAAGTCCGTCCGCCTAAAACATTTACCCACAACGAACAACCTGTCAGTCCGATCTGTCCGTGCACGTCTTTTTGTTATCAGTATATGAACAACCTCCTCAGGCACAAACAAAAAAGGTATAAGATAAGTTAGAATGAATAAAACTTGTATGAAACGGCTCATAGGCATAGGACATGTAAAATCATACAACACAGGCACAAGTCGAACAAAGGTATAAAATCATATGAAATATGTAAAATATAAAAACACGCACTAAATATGCCTATACCTTGTAAAGAGAAAATCATAAAAACACGCACTAAGGATGCCTATACATGATAAAGAGAAAATTTATAAACACATATTGTACAGGCCTATGTTAGCAAAATCAGAGGAACACACACTCCAGCACCAAACGTATTGTAAAGAGAAGAATTATAAACACAGGTCAGCTAACCCATAGGAACACATACCCTTGTATAAACCCACAAGAATGCGTTTAAAAGTAAACGATAGGCCATACACAAAAAAAAAGGAAACTTACACATGTGACTAAAAATCCATGAACACCCTTATGTACAAACATCCATGTATAAAATATATAAACACATGCAAGCAGGACACAAAACGCGTAGAGCATTATACATTACTGCAAAAGCACCGTTAGGTCAGATAAAATGTTCAAGCAAAGTACAAAGTTATACAGCACCGTTAGGGTATAAGTACTTAGGTAGAAAAGAAACAATAAGAACATACGACAGTGCATAAACTGCACACAAAGACTCGATCGCACATGCCAAGCATGTAGAAACACACATAGCAAAGCAAACACAAGGCATAGGAAGGCACAATCACTCACTTACCTAACGGTGATTGAATCACGCGATTTGGTACCTGGGTGCCTGTTGAGTAGACGTATGAACAAACATAGCGATAAGCTAGACGTAAATTGATATTAAGTTATGTATAAGCAGGATCATGCAAGTCGTAAATAAGGTTGCGACTACAGCCAACCTAAGCTA